GATAAACCTACTACACGACTTAGTAGTCTAACTCAGTGCCTTAAAAACCTGATAAAACAACAGCAGATTATAATAACAGTACATAATAATATGTAAATATAGCTCACTGTGCAACCAGTTATTTCGCGGATCTCTGCTACTTTATCAGCACTGAAGTAGATTGTGCCAATTATTTGGTTTTAAATGTTTGTTTGTTTGTTTTTATTGTCAGCTTTACAGTGGCATGGGTTACATTAAACCGATTACCAGACTACAAGATGATCTGTATTGTTCATTTACTTTATTTGTAAAATAACCTTTTGCGTGGTGACAGATGCGTAAAGCTGCAGGTTACAAACAGCTGCGCTTTCGATACAAAACGGACAAATACTGGCAAAATATACAAATATTCCATCTTGAATGACATATAATGTAATGTATAGAATGTATAATCTTTGATATGTTCACGTAGCCCAATCTTTTGCTGTTGTTTTAAGATAATCTATAACGTGACTGAAGAATAAACAGTTGTTACTGTTGCTTCTTTGCGCGTGTAGCCGCTGAAAACCTGCAAGATTTTTTTGTTGTTGTTGTTTTTAAAAGAAGAAAAAAGTTTTTAATCTATCAGCGATTTGAGGCCATGCACTCACAGTTGTTTACCACTCTAGTTAGATTTGCGTGTTAAGACGTGTGGAAAGAAGTTCAACTCAGTCCAAACGACTCAGGGGAAACAGTTTGGGGAATGCAGGTATCTGTAAACAGCGTCTGTTTAACATCATTTAACCATGTTGGTCTGTATGTTTTTAGTTTGGGGAATATAGGAGAAAGGGGCGAAACTCATAATGTCCCTGCAGCCAATCCCAAGTCCCCGCTCTTCTGGGAACGGGAAGCACACATGACCCATATTCTGTAGAAACCATTCATTATTTTCAAACGTGTTACTGGGGGCTGAGATCGTAACCCCGGGCTAATTATTGGGACTTTCCAGACCTGCAGAAAAACAAGCATTTCTGATTTCCAGGCGCTTTACAGCATCTGCCAAAGCAATGTGCATGCGCTGCATGCATGTGTCCACTTTACCTGTAAGACTGGAAAAAGTCCGTGTCTGGTTTCAGGCCTTTCCTGTCACAGCTAAAACACTTGTCTGAACTGCGTTTCCTAAAATAATGTTTTCTTCAGCATGGTATCAAACTAACGAGATGAATTTAGGCCAACACCTCTTACCTTATATTTAGGTTATAGTTAATACAACTTATTTTAAGCATTTCACTCCTGTAACATAGGCCAAGGCATCTGGGAATATGTTTATATTGGCTTCAGTTATTTTAATGAGCACAGTTTGGACACAGTCGAGTAAAACTGTGCAGCCTTTGAAGTTGTGAATGACTTCAGCCCCATTGTCTTGAGTCTATTATCAGTTTATTTTTAATTAAATTC